CTCCACCGACCATAAGAGTAGAAAGAAGATAGCATGTTTTGCTTTCAGAGGGCTTTGCTAGAAGAAACTAGAAGAAAACATGCTTAAAGGGTGTTTCAGTCAGGGTCCCAGCAAGTGAAAGAGGGTAAAAAAAGGTTTTAACGGGAAGAATTTAAGGAGAGGGCATTTAAATGGTGCTTAGGTGATGCCGTCTGCAAAGAATACTGTGGCACCTTGGGACAGTGAGAGCAGGGAGCCGTTGCCAGTCCAAAGCCAAAAAGGGCTGAGGAGAAAAACAAGGTATCTGATGCCCCTTGTGGGTTCGATTCAAGGAAGGAGGGCTGCCTGGAAGCCGGTTTTACCTGCAGAGGAGCTCAGGCATCGCCGGCACCTGGCAGAGCAGCCTGAGAGGAGGAATAGGTACTCCAGCCTCCATCTCCTGCCTATGCCTTGCACTGGCCACAGCCTTCCAGAAAGCAGAGCTCAAGGGAATTCAGCCTTCAGAGGCTGCAGTAACCCTGGACCCTGAGCAGAGCAGAGAAGGGCAGAGGTGGATGTGGGGGAAAAGGGATAACCAGTGCAAACCAAGGTCTGGTCCCTCCATGTTTCAACAAGTGAGGGAGGGGGAGAGAGAGAGAGAGAGAGGAAACAATAGACAGATTATCTCCGTGTGTACTATATTATACAGTACTAAAAAAATAAACAGCACATAGGAAAAAATTCATAATGCGCCAATAAACAGAGAATTTCTATAATAGATCACCCATTAATAAAAATCAATGTAATAACATGAAGAATCTAACAGACCAATTAGCAAAATAGGAACAAATTATTTCCAAAAGATAAAATACATAGGTGAAGACTGTTTCGTCTCATCAGTGGAGAAGAAATGTATGTTAAAACCAACACAAGATCTACTTTCCTACTGAATTATCAAGAAAAATAGGTAATATCAAACACAGGCAAGGATAGAGGGAAGTGGGTCTTTCAGTACGAACTATTCATAAAAGTGTAAATTGGTGCAGTCTTTCTGAAAATCAGCTTATCAGTGTTTCCACTTCCAATATTCTGTCTTAAGGAAATGATTAAGAACACAGATCAAGATCGACTTACAAAGATATATGTAACGGCTTTACCTACAACAGAGCAAAAAAAAAGGAAACAAATGTCCAACATTAACAGAATGATTAAGAAATTACACAAACGTCCATTCCATCAGATTTTATGGGGGCATTAAAAATCATGTTTACAATGAGATTTTTTTTGGTCATAAGTTAAGCCAAAATGCAGTACGTAGAATTGTATGTGTGATATCAGCACAGATAGGTTTAAAGAATAAAGTCAAGAAAATATTGAAGAAAAAATGTCAAAATGTTCATAATAGTTGCTGTTTCTCTGGATAATGAGAATTATGGTGATTATTTCCCCTTTTCCTCTTTATGCCTTTGTGTACTTTCCCAATACTCTAAGATGAGGATGCATTTATGAATATTTATTGATGCCCTCGTTGTGCTAATCATTGTTGCGAGGACCTGGACACACAAAGCTCTTGAAGTCACAGCCCTTGACTCAATGTGCCTGCAGTCTAGTGTCTTGTTTTCAGATTGTAACTTCAAAAGTTAGAGAATAAGAAAGGTGTTGTTTGTCTAAGTAGAGTAGGTGAGAAGCCGTGTCCCATCTATTCCCCATTTGATCTCCGTCCCTCAGACCACCTTTCCAAGCCCACTGGGATCATGGCTGTCTTACCTTCCAAACACGTCCAAAACCCGAGGCAAGTCAATAAAGCTTTCAGAAAGAGTAAATAAATAAAATATCTTCAAGGCTTTGGAGAAGATAAAGATATCTTAAACAGCACACAAATGTGCTAATAAGAAAAAAATGGTAAATTGTATTAAATTAAAATTAAAACTCTGTCCATCACACCACACGATGAAGAGAGTAAAAATGGAGGCCGCCGTGAAGAAAATCTTTACAAGTCACATACAAGGCTCCTAGCCAGCGTATGTAAAGAACTCCTACATGACAATAAGGAAAAGGCAGGCAACCCAAAAGAACAATGAGCAAAGGTTTGAACAGGCAATCACTAAAGGATATCCAGATCAACACGGAGAGGTTTCCAAATATTAGTCCTCAAGCAACGCAGATTAAAACCACAGTATGCTATCACTACACCTCAAATTAAAGAGGCGGATAGTAGCAATTGTGGACGAAGATGTGGAGCCACTGAACTTCTGTGCACCAAGAGTAGAGTGCAGATTGGTACAATTGCTTTAGAAAGCGCTGGACAGGATCTACCAAAGCTGAGTGTAAGGGGACCCCGTGATCCGGGAGTTCCAGCGCTAGGTACATAGCCAAGAGAAACACATGATATGTTCTTCACATTATATTTGTAATCACCCAAAACTACAAACAATCCAAATGTCCACCAACATAGAATGGATACATAAAGGGCAATATATCTGTATCAGCAGAACTCTAGGTGGTGAGAACTAACCACAACTATCTGTAATAGCATTTGTAAATAGCACAAGCTTAGTGTTGGGTGAAGGAAGCCAGGACACGAGGAGTAGGCACCGCATCATTCCGTTTAGGTGACATTCGAAACCAACTAATCTATGAAGTTAGAATTCAGAATTACTGATTATCCGTGGCAGGGAGTGCCTGAAAAGTGGGGAGAAGGTAGCTTCTGGAAGACTGGTAATATGCTGTTTGTTTTTTAACCTGGCTGGCAGTTATACTGGTACATTTTTATGAAGAGTCATCAAGGCATACTTTTCTGTATGTATGATAATCATCAATTAAAAATTATAGGATAGGGGCACCTGGATGGCTCAGTCGGTTAGGCATCCAACTCTTGACTTCAGCTCAGGTCATGGTCTTGCAGTTTGTCAGGTCGAGCCCTATATTGGACTCTGCTCTGACAGCACAGAGCCTGCTTGGGATTCTCTCTCTCCCTCTCTCTGTGCCCCTCCCCTGTTTGGCATGCATGCTCTCTCACTCTTTCAAATAAACAAACATTAAAATTTCACATGATATATATTTATAAATGTGTGTATATGTACATATGCACACATATATGAAATATATAATATAAATGTATTTATACACACGTAGGTATGTACACATGCACACACACACACACACACATATATTCCATCCAAAATATAACCCTTTCTGACGCTCCTCTGAGCATCACTTTAACATGACTCCAATCACTGTGTGCCCAATTCTCTCTTGGAGTCTTTGCCTGTAGCTGGAATAATAGTCTTTAAAACAGAAGCTGGGTGATATCTGTCCTTGGCTCATAACCAGCAGGAATTCTGCACGTCAATCAGAATAAAATCCTCAGAGGAGGCATAGATCCCTGACAGCCTACATAAAGTAGCCTTACCACCCACACCTGTCACTTTTATCCCTTTATCCTGCTTCATTTTTCTTTATAGTTCTTCTCACCAGCTGACATACCATTGACTTGGTTATTGATTTATAACCGGCCTCTCCACCACTAGTATGTAAGCTACATGAGAGCGGGGACTTCTGCTTTCTGCTTTATGGCCCTGACATCTCGAACGGGGCCCGGCGTAAAGTAGGCAATGGACGAATGAATGAGGTCACCACCAAAAACACATAGGAAATGGGCAGAATTTGTAGGTTTAACCCTCTTTCATAGAGTAGGAAACAAACAAAAACCATGAAATCACTTACTTGATGTTATTCAGGAGAGCAGCTCAAGTTGGCTTTTCTCTCTCTCCCTCTCCCTCTGCCATTCATCTCCTCTGTGTGCACACAGCACACAGCCGTGTGATGTAATTTTATAATCCTGGAGGCTCAGAATCAAATGAGGGAGACATCCAGGTAAAGATTCATTACACTGGAATTAGGCATTTTTATAAGAGTCTTGTTTTGCGGATATATGGCCACTCTGAGTACATGATGGTAAAAACCCTATCATTTTTCTTTGCAAAAAATACATGGATTGGGGACCTCGGGATGTCCTTCAGTATTCCACAGAAGAAAATTTTAAACAAGACAACACCATTTTGTTAGGTTCTACAACAACTCAACACTTTTCAGGTCCTGAAGATGAATTTTTCCTAAGTGAATATGTCCAGAAATTGAGATTGTTTCCATCCGAAGTCCTACATCCCTGTCCTCAGAATGAACCATGGGGGCTCCTGTTTACAGTTAACTTCAGTCTGAATTTTACCTTTTCACAGAGCTACCCGGTAGGCTCTGCCCCTCGGCAGCTTATCTAAAACCTGGTTAAGGGGCGCCTGGGTGGCTCAGTTGGTTAAGCGTCTTACTTCAGCTTCATAAAGTCCGTGAGTTCAAGGTTTGTGAGTTCGAGCCCTGCATTGGGCTCTCTGCTGTCAGCATAAAGCGCACTTTGGATCCTCTGTCCCCCTCTCTTTCTGTCCCCCATCCCCCGCTTGTGCTCTCTCTTTCTCTCAGAAATGAACAAACATTAAAAATGTAAGTAAAAATAAATAAAACCTGTTTAAATGTGCAAATGTTGGAGTGAGGGAGGGGGAGGGGGCAGTCCAGTTTGGTTGTCAGCCTGGATGGCCCTTCGGTTTTGGTTAATGAAAAGAGAGAGAGAGAGTTAGTTTCCGGCCCTTTCAGTGACTACATGGCCCAGGACAGTTTTGTTGCTTTGTCCTTTAACTGATCGAATGAGCAACAGGGATAAGCCCGAACGGACACAGTGCATGGCCCACCGTTACTAAGGGTCTCCTTCCCCTCCTCCCCCTCAGATAGCAGGAAGCATAACATGAAGCCATGACTGTAAAAGCGGATTAAATAATAAAATGAAACCCAAGAGACATTGAGGGTAACAAGCCCAGTGTCAGATCATTCGCTCACCACATAGTTCAATCTTTTAATAAGGCAGAAAATGATGGTTAAAGGGAACGAGGCTGCTTTTACTTCTAAGTGAGTACGAAATAACCATTAATGTCAGAGGAGATGGCAATGCCAAAGTTCCTTCTGCAGCTCCGCCTTCCAGCTCAGGAGGGGAGAGGATGGAAGAATCAGGATATAAACCGGACTGTGAGGTCGGAGTTCTGACTCCAGTGGCCACACAGCTTGGAAGCTGTGTAACCCAAGGCAGGTCCCTTAACCTCTCTGAACATCATCCTCCTAAAATGAGGCTGGTAAAAACACCTATCTGGCAGGAGTTTTGTGAAGATTCCATGAGGTCTTTGTTCTAAAAATGTTTTGTAGCCAAGAATAGGCTGTGATAATGTATAGGGTTATTAGTGTCCTTAAATCATTGAATATCCTTCTTAACCTTCTGTCTACCTCCTAACGCCACGTCCCTAAGGTTTAGCTAAAGCACTCCCTCTCCCTGAGCTCTGCCTATCCCTACTATTGTAGATTAGGATAGTTTTCAATAATTAAATGAAAAAGTTGTATACGTCATATCTGAACCTTCCCACCTAAGCCTTCAGAATAGAACTATGGCCTCTGAATTCCAGATTACTAATGCCACACAGATAGGAACAAGGAATTCCCTGACACTCTGGAGGGTAGGAAGATTGGAAGTGGAGACTGAAAAGTGAGGGAAATCTCCTCCTTCCCCATCTCAACATGGAGCAGTGTGCCTTCCTAAACATTGTCTTCTCTGTAATAGAAAAGGTGACTATTTAGTGAACCTTTATCGTATGCCAAGCACTGTGCTATGTATTATTTCATGTGTTCTAAACAACATCCTGTACTATTATTGCCACCTGTAGACAGGAAGACTATAATTAGAATAAGTAGCTTGAGGGGCGCCTGGGTGGCTCAGTCCATTAAGCGTCTGACTTCGGCTCAGGTCATGATCTCACAGTTTGTGGGTTTGAGCCCCACGTCGGGCTCTGTGCTGACAGCTCAGAGCCTGGAACCTGCTTTGGATTCTGTGTCTCCCTCCTCTCTGCCCCTCCCCCACTTGTGTGCTTGTGGTTTCTCTCTCTCTCTCTCTCTCTCATTCAAAAACAAAAGCATTTAAAAACTTTAAAAAAAGGAGTAAGTAGCTTGGCCAATGTCACATGGTAGAGTCAGAATTTGAACACAAACCTGCCTAATTTTTACGTTTGTTGACTGATTACAGTAAAACCTTGGATTGCAAGTGGATTGAGTGTTCCACAAGACGAGCAAACATTTCTAATAAATTGTAACTTGATAAACCAGCGATATTTTGCAATACAAATAGCATGTGTTACTGAACATCACATGATCACAGCTGCGTCGATCATTCTTGAAATTCACTTTGGATTACAAGTGTGTTTCTACCACAAATTATGCTTGCAAACCAAGGCTTTACTGTATTCACCTCCTACATTTTAACTAACTTTGTGTGTCTGTGTTTGCCTTTCTGTTCCTTTATCCTTTCATTTTTGGATGAGTAGGGTATTGAGTATGACCGAGATGCCTAGGGCGTGGTCACCATGCTTAAGGAGCTGTTGTAATCCACTGCAAGAAAGGTGACAAACAAATCCCTATGTGACATGGAAGAATTTAAAGAGGTCCATAAGGAATTGCGCATTAGCCTTCTTACCTGGAACATGCAAATAATACTCTTCCTACTTTATACAGGAGTCTTTAGGCTACCTAACATTCGTGAAATGCCTACATCAAGCGTTTGCAAAGACCCTGACGGCTAGGAAGTGCTCAGCGTAAGGGTTCTCTAATGTTGCCAGACAGTCCCAGGCTAATAACCAGGATACAAAGCTAAAAAAGCAACTTGGTTTCAGATTTCAAGAGCCTTGAATGCCGGTCTAATGAGTTTGGACCTTCAGCCTGATGAAAACAATTGTGCCAAGGTCTGTGATCATTCCGAAAAGCAATTAGAGCTGACGGTAGTTTGCATGCCCTTTCAGAACTCATCACGAGTGAGACGGAGTTGAGGGGCATGGTTGGGCCTGGTTTACAGAGTTTTGTATTCGATATGCTGAAAGGAAAGATGATGTTTTCAAGTTTGATGCCCTGTACTTTTTCTCCCACAGTAATTAATGAATGCCAAAGGCAGCAACTGGAGTCTGTGAGCTACTCTTCTCGCTACGCTCTGGGCCTCTTTTATGAAGCTGGTACGAAGATTGATGTCCCTTGGGCCGGGCAGTACATCACCAGTAATCCCTGCATACGCTTCATCTCCATTGATAATAAGAAACGCAATATAGGTCAGTACCCCCATTATTTCCCTTAAATACAGTAACAATGGTGGGTGTAGATCATGAAAAATGCTGTTTAATTGAGTGTTGCCATTCTGAACAGAGCAAGCATTTAACTCCAAGCCACAGGGGATAAAATTTAATGTCACATTTGGCCAATAATAAAATACACAGTGAAACCAGCAAAGTTTTTCAGAAAAATCATTCACCACATGGTTCATATTACCGAGTTCATGGAAATAGCGTCCGAAGTTTGAAGATTTCAAAATGGCACAAGTGTGATTGCTTTAATATGGGTCCATCCATATGCTGACGTGTCTCTACTCATTGTGTTTTGTTTGTTTGGCTTTGTTTTTAAAATTTGGTACGTGCTGCTCTTTGCACTTCCCAGGCTGGAAGTGAAAAGTGAATTTTACTATGTTACAAAAACCCTTCACTTCCATACCATTTTATTTATCTAACTTTCATCTGGACGACTACATAAAATTACTCTGTATACAATATGAGGGCAATGATAGGTAACATATTTCCTAAGAGCTTTACTAGAATTCTAGAGCTAAAATCTCCACTCCACTTTTTTTGTTGAAGGTGGTTATTAAAATTAGGTCTGAATTGCTGGAATAAACATGATGCTCATCTTAGGGGTAAAGAAGAAAGGGCATTCTGATTTGTCAGATCAGAATGGTCCCTACGATACTGCTTTTTTGAAGAGTGAACTGTAATGATGGAAAATGACTGAATTCTTGAAGGGAATCGTCATTTCAATTTGTCATGGTGTTTTACGGCACAGGGATGGTTTCATCAAGCTGTTAGTTCGACGTCTTGTTTGATAAAATCACCAACTAACGTTGCCCGGCTTGCCAGAACTTTATAATGACCGAACTGGGCTGGAGTACGGTTTTCCTATCAGAGCACATGATCTTAGGAAAATGTTTCTTTTATAACTCAAAACTCCCTAAGGGCCAGACTGCTTATGTTAACATGATACCACATACATGTACCATCAGCAGTTCATAAAATGCCCTGTAACTGCAACGGACTGCTTTTAACTCTACAACTGCTTTGTTCTAAGAAAAGGAGAAGAGCCCTTGATCTTCTCATGGTCTCGGTCATGAGTTAGACATTATCCTTTGTGTATTGCTTCATAAGATACGATATCTGATCGGTGTATTCAGTAATACATAACAGAAAAACCAGTTTAAACTTGTTTAAACAACGTAAGGTCATTTGTTATATTATCCGCTATGGACTGAATTGGGTCACTCTGAAATTCTTGTGTTGGAGCCCAAATCCTCAGTGCGATTATATTTGAAGATGGGCTTTGAGGATGTCATTAAGGTTAAATGAGGTCACAAGGGTGGGATCCTCACCTTGTATGATTGGTGGCTTTATTAAGTGAGCAAGAGAGAGATTTCTTTCTTTGTGCCCATGCCAGGGGAAGGGCATGTGAGGATAGTGGGAAGGCGAGAAGGCGGGTTCTCTGCGAGTCAGGAGGAGAGGCTTTACCAGAAACCAAATCAACTGGCACCTTGACCTTGGACTTCTCAGCCTCTGGGGCCGAGAGAAATAAATAAATAAAAAGAAGGGAGTAGTGGACGCTAGGTTGGCAATACGTGAACACCACTGCTTTTCAAGTAGGGTCACATCTTACATGGGAGGTAACACATGATGGGAAGAATCATGGATATTCAAAATTCTCTTTGAAAATCCCTTAAAATGACGTGACATTTCAGAGAGTGACATAACTTTCAGTAAATTGAGTGTAGCCATTTTCCCAACATTTAGTAGATTTTAGTTTCTTTGGGTGAGGCCAGATGAAATAGTTGGCTTGCATTTATAGGACAGAGTGATATTTTCTACTGTGAAAGGCGCACAGGAAAGAAAAAAACAGCAGTCAGATCTCCTAACAGATTAAATCGCCATACAAATGAGAGTGGGGTGGCGAGTGAAGACACCCATGGTACACGGTGGTCGCAATTTATTAAAGAGTTACACAAATTTGAAACGGTGCATTCTAAAAGTGTTAATGCATTTTCATGTGATTGGTAGCATCACATGAAATAATCGAAATACAAAGAAAGTGTTTTTTGTTTTTGTTTTTGTTTTGTATTTGCAACCACACAGTTTTAAAGCAGGAAGCCTGGGTGGATTGCAAACCATGTTTTTGCTACAGCTCCTGATGTTGCCTCTTCAGGCGGCAAAGAAATGTCTGGCTTTCTTTGCGAGTTTTGTGGAAAATTAATCTTGGATTATGCAAGTTGTAAATTATGAGAGGCCTCCAGTAATGTCATCCCCTAACATAAAATCTAACTGCCTTGCATTTAAACTTTTTTTCCCCCTCTCTATATAGGGCCAGGGTTCTAAGCGTGTCTGGTTGCATTCACACAATATAAAGGTCCATGTAGTGACTCCACTGTATTTTACTGATATTGAAGTAGACCAGTAAGAGTTGACCCCAGACCAGCACTTTACTTGGAGTGTTGGATTGAATCTAGAATTAATTCTGTAAATGTACACACTCAACTAATGACGGGGGGAAGGTTTGTTCTGTCAGGGTGAGGCAGCCACAAAAGAAAAGGTAGCAGGATCGTGTCCACAAAATACAGTCTGATGTTAAGTGTTGGAGAGAGAGCCAGAGAAGGAAGGACTGGCGGCCCGGACCAGACAAAGGACAAGGAATAGTCATGTGTCAGATGTTAGGGATAGTCAGCACGTGCAAAAAGCCAACCCCGGAACCCAAATCTCCTTAGGCAGAGGGTCTAAATACCAAGGTGTGTGAGTTCCAACTTGAACTATAGAACCCTGTCGTACAGCTATGACCCATTATACTTGGGTTTGCGTTTCCCCAGATGTGTTCGATGGAATACCACTTCCTTGACATGCTCTTTGGAATGGGGTTCTGTCAACACATAAGTTTGCAAAATGCTACTGACTTTACTACTAATTTAAAGTCTCAGGTCATATTTTCCTATTAAAAGACATTCCTATAGAAAAGCCACCTTCTCATGTCATTTCATCTAGAACTTCCCAAATGCATTTGACCATGGGATGTTTTGTTTAAGCACCACACCTACTAATATCCCACAGAAATGGTTCCGCCGGACACCCCTGAGAAACCCTGGCTTCGGACCTGGACAGGAATCGTAGGCCCGTGAGGAGGGCAGCAAAGGCTGGCATGGGAGCCATCAATACTGATTTTTTTTTTTTTTTGGAGATGGAAGAAGCCAGAAGCTACCTTGGAACCCACCAAAAGTTGCCTCAAAAGACACTCCTATCACTCAAGAAATTCCATAGGATTTTGGAGCTCTGTGTTAGGAGCCAGGATCAAGGATCAAATATTAGAACAAAAGATGTTTTTAGTGCTCTTATCACTTGGGAAATTACAAAGATTTTAGGAGTTCTGTTGTAAAAGCCGAAGGGAGATAGATATATAGATATAGATTAGATATAGATATAGATGGTATAGACATAGATATAGATATTTTTCCTATTATTTCACACCTTCCAAGAAGATCTCAGAGGTCCTTCTCAAGATCTTATATTTGGAGTTGAGCTGGCCAGAGTAAGTTCCTAGATTCAACTCAGTTCTACCTCTTAATAGCTGTGTAAGGTTGGATAAATTAGTTAACCTATCTGTCTACAGATCATTAAGATGTGGGGGAAACAAATACCAACCCCAAAGAGTTGAGGATGAAATGGTTTAAACATTTAAAGAGCTTCATGTAGCAAATAATAAGTCAGTATCTATGGTACCTATTGTTACAACTGGTGATGCCAGTCTAGAATCTGAATATTATATTTTCCAAAGCAAAGGGCATAAATATAAAAGCCTAACTTTGGTAAATGTAACCTTCTGCTACCAAGGCCGATAGGAAGCAGGGTGGCCTTAATAAATAAAATATATTAGTTACCCTGAAAACGATTGGACACAATTTTAGCATCCTTCCCTGTTCGCCATCTGGAAGAGTGTTAATGGTAGTAAAATAGCCAATAGGAAGCAATCCGAGGAGATTAATATAATCTGCAGCTCTGGAAATGTGGTAGCCAATGACTGTAATTACATAGCTTTCAGTAACTACTCAAAGACTTCAGTTCATCCCAAAAGAAAACAAACAGATGAACAAACGTTTTCATCCCATGGAATTTATACCTGCAAGAACTTTATTGTTGGGGATTCTTGGGTAACAAACACTAATATAATGTGTATTGCCTTTAATAGCTGTTATACTAAAGATGCAGAAATGTTATTCCATAAAGATGTTTAATACATCTATTCTTTATAAAAGATAGGAACATAATATGAAATCCCATAAATAATTGAGATGAGCCAGGGGCCTTAAGTCTAGTCATCTTGGGTTTGCTTAAGGGAGTTTGTTTGGGGCGCCTGGGTGGCTCACTTGGTTGAGCATCTGACTTTGACTCAGGTCATGATCTCGCAGCTTGTGGATTTAAGCTCTGCATTGGGCTCTGTGCTGACAGCTCAGAGCCTGGAGCCTGCTTCGGATTCTGTGTCTCCCTCTATCTCTACCCCTCCCTGCTGTCGCTCTGTCTCTTTCTCTCAAAAATAAACAGTAAAAAAAAGGGGGGCGGAGTTTATGATAATTTCTGTTAGGCAGAGAGCCATATAGTTGACAACACAAAGGGGGCCGCTTTAGGATGCAAATAAATGTGGAATTGTTTCCCCTTAAACCTGTAGACAATGCAGTCCACATAGGTAGCACTTTTTAAGAACAAAAAAGCAGGAGGGAGAAGAAGGAAACGGGGCTATAGCAGGAAAAGGAAAGGAAAAGAAAAAGAACTGTAATCATGAAACGCTGTCAGCTTTCCTGTTCAGATTTTTGTTTTAAAATACCGACTCCAGAAGCAGAGCTCTCCGGTAAAAGAGCTATCACCATCTCAAAATAAGCAGCGACGGCCAGTTGCAAAATGCACGATACGATGTCTTTTGTATAATAGACGTAGTCATTTGTGACTCAATTATGTAACTGCTGCTGTCCGTATAAAGACAA